TTAATGAGCTTGAGCATAAGAATGCACTGATACTATAGATCAGTTTGAGAAGAACTGATATCTTTAAGATTTTTGAGTTTTCTTATTCATGATGACACACTTTTTGCTTGTTTAAGTCTTCTTTAATTCTGTTAACTAAAGTTTTCTCCATGTAAGTCTTGAGTAAATTTGCTTAGACTTATAACATATATTACATATGATATTTATTACATGTCTATATTATATAAGATATATTTATACTATATAAAATATAAATATTTCTACAATATATTACTTATAATATATTTATATTAAAATATAATATATACATAATATATACATTTATGTATTTAAATATATTTATTATTTTTATATATGATTTATTATTTTCCATATATATTTGTGTATATACACACATGTTATTGGTCGTGGTATAATTTTAATTTTTTAAAAATATGTTTTATATTCATTACTGGTGTATAGCAGTACAGTGGATTTTAAAAATATTGGCTTTGGGACACCTGGATGGCTCAGTCAGTTAAACATCTGGCTCTTGATCTTAGCTCAGGTCTTGATCTCAGGGTTGTGAGTTCAAGTTCCGCATTGGGCTCCATGCTGAATGTGGAGCCTATTTAAAAAAAATTGACCTTATATTCAGCCATATTATTATTTTTGACAAATAGTCTTTGACTCTTAGAGGCTTTCTATGTAGACAAACATATCACCTGAGAATATAGGATTTTTTCTTCCTTCTCAATGCTTATTCTTCATAGTTCCCCTTAAAAAAAAAAAAAAACCTGCACTAACCAGACCTCCAGACAATAATGAATAGAAATGGTGATATAGGGCATTTCTTTTTATCCCTAATTTTAAAGGGATTGCATCTCTGTGGCTCACCATAATAATGTTTGTTGGTTTTTTTGTGGTAGACCCTTTTATCAGGTAAAGAACGTTCCTGTTTATTCCTAGTTGATTAGATGTTTTTATCATGAATGGGCAATGAATTTTATTAAATACTTTTCTACATCAGTTGAGATAATTGTATGGTTTTTCTATTTTAACTCATTAAAATGGTATTTACAGCCCCTTTTTATTCTTAATATTATTATTTGTATCTTCTCTCTTCTATTCTATGAGAAGTTTGTCATATTATTAGCTTTTTATTTTTTATTTTTTCATATTATTAGCTTTTTAAAGACAAACTTTAGGACTTGTTGACCCTCCCTATTGAATATTTGCTTTCTGTTTTATTCATTTCTGCTTTCATATTTATTATTACCTTTCTTCTGCCCTTTCTTAGGCTTATTCTTTCCAAACCTCTCCAATTGGTTGCTTAGCTCATTCCTTCTCAGCCCTTCTTTTCTAAGTACTTATATCCTTTCCTTCTAATCATTACTTTACTTTCAATCCACACAATCAAGTATGAAACATTTTCATTATCTTTAGGTTTTGATTATTTTTAATTTTTACTGTAATTTTTTATTGACTTTTAAGTTACCTAGAAATGCGTCTTAAAGTTTCCAAACACGTGGAAACTGAATGTACTTTTTGTTACTGTCATCTGATTTGATGGCACTGTGGTTAAAAAATGTAATCTGTATGTCAGCCATTCTTTGAAATTTTTGAGAGTTACTTCATGGCCCAGATGTAGAATTTTTTTTTTTTTGTAAATATTGCATGCATGCCTGAGAAGAATATTTATCTTCTAATTGTTGGGTGCAGAGTCCTATTTAAATCCGATAGATCGATGTGTGTTTCAAATCTTCCTTATCTCTCATTTTTAAAAACGTTCCGTAATGATGGTGGATCTGACAGATTTCCTGACTTGAACTACAGGCACATGGGGTATGAATCTGTGAGCTCTGTGGCTAGTGCTGAGGTGCTGGGGGAAGAGAGGAGCTCCTGAGGCTGGATGGTGACCATGCTGGACGAGGGGCAGCCCCCTGTGGAGTATCAGAGCTGTGGGCTCCTTCTCTTTGGGTTGGCAGAGCAGGTTACTTCCAGACCACAGCAGAGTCCCACAGCCTTCCTGCTCACAGGCTGGAGGCTGGGCTGGCTCCGCCTTGGTGGGAGCTAAGCAAGTAAACTGATTCCTTGATGCAGCCACCGCCACTGAGATCTTGAGCTGTGTCAGGCACAGGACTAGGCTCCAGCCCCTGTCTTCACAGGCTCCCAACCGCTGTGGCAGGAGCAGACTCAGGTTAAGAAGCAGACGTCGTGAAATGAAGAGGCATTTGTTACAGGAACCAGGGGGTGGGGCACCCATTCTGGCTGGGGGGCATCACACCACACGGAGGCCCCCCGTCCCACCCAGGTGCATGGCCTAGGTGTCAGGTTATCTTTTCAGATTCTAGCTTATGGGACGATTTTGAGCGCTTGTATTCCCCTCTTCTCTACTCAAGTAGGGGGCAGATGCTGCCTTTTCCAGTCTCAGGAGGTTGTGGCAGGGTGAAAAGCAGAAGTTGCTGCAGGAACTTCCCTTCCTGGGTTTATATCTGAAAGGTTGAGCCCTAGAAGAGGTCTCCAGAGGTATTTGAGAGCAGAAGTTACATACTGCTGCCTGGTTTGAGCTGCCCCATGTAAGAACATTTTAAAATTAGTTGCCGACATTTAAAAATGTGATTCCACAAAACATGAGACCTCTTTGTGCACCTGGCAGCCCTTGGCCCCCTTGCGGCTCCCCTGATGCACTTCAAACATCCCCCAGCCACTGCCGATGACTTACTGGGCCTGCTCTGGCATTCTCTTACAGTTTGCTCAGGAAGTGAAATATTTCTCCCACAAACATCTCCATTAAGTGGGGTTAAAAACTCAACACCCAAAAAACAAAGAATCCAGTCAAGAAATGGGCAGAAGACATGAACAGACTCTTCTCCAAAGAAGACATACAAATGGCCAACAGACACATGAAAAAGTGCCCAACATCGCTCGGCATCAGGGAAATCCAAATCAAAACCTCAATGAGATACCACCTCACACCGGTCAGAATGGCTAAAATTAACAAGTCAGGGAACAACAGATGTTGGCGGGGATGCGGAGAAAGGGGAACCCTCCTACACTGTTGGTGGGAATGCAAGCTGGTGCAGCCACTCTGGAAAGCAGTATGGAGGTTCCTTCAAAAGTTGAAAATAAAGCTACCCTATGACCCAGCAATTGCACTACTGGGTATTTACCCCGAAGATACAAATGTAGGGATCTGAAGGGGTATGTGCACCCTAATGTTTATAGCAGCAATGTCCACAATAACCAAACTGTGGAAGAAGCCGAGATGCCCTTCAATAGACGAATGGATAAAGAAGATGTGGTCCATATATACAATGGAATATTACTCAGCCTTCAGAAAGGATGAATATTTTTCATTTACATTGACATGGATGGAACTGGAGGGGATTATGTTAAGTGAAGTAAGTCAATCAGAGAAAGACAATTATCATATGGTTTCACTCATATGTGGAGTATAAGAAATAATGCAAAAGATCATAGGGGAAGGGAGAGAAAACTGAATGGGAAGAAATCAGAGAGGGAGACAAACCATGAGAGACCCTTGACTCCGGGAAACAAACTGAGGGCTGCTAGAGGGGAGGTGGGGAGGATGGGGTAACTGGGTGATGGGCATTAAGGAGGGCACGTGATGTCATGAGCACTGGGTGTTATATGCAACTGATTAATCACTGAACACTACATCTGAAACTAATGATGTACTCTATGTTGGTTAATTGAATTTGAGTTAAAAAAAGAAAAAGAAAGGGGGTAAAAGTTTCAAAAGTTCATTCGTATCAGGAGAAGCAAGAGGGAGTACGTTTCCTGGTGTAGGTGAAGACTGACCCAAAGTGTTTAGTATGAAATAAAGTGTGTCTGGATAGAAGACTGGAACCCTAAGGCACCAAAACGAAGCAAATGGCTTTTCTCACAAACATCCTGCTCCGCTCACGTCCATCATTTGCGTGAGGCTCAGAGGGACAAATGTGCTCAGTGAGTTAGCTGTGTTAGGGATTTGGCTGAGGAAGCTTGAGAATGAAAAGAGGTTCACTGTTGTCCATTTGGATGGGGCTCAACACTTGTCATTAAGTGGCTGTACATTTTTAAAAGCGAGATTTCTTGCACATTTGAGTTGGTGGCTCGACAGTCAGGCAGGTGTCAAGAAGTATGGAAATGTATGGCCCCAAATCTGTTGGTTTGAGCCTGTTGAGAACCAAGGGTCTTCCAACATAAGGGGCTTCTTGTGGGGTCTGGGAATGTGCATGGGAAAAAAATCACATCCCTGTCCTCTAACCTCTAATGGAAACTTAACATGTCTTTCCAACATGAGGGTAAGCAATAAGCCACCGCGATATTACCACGCAGGTGACTTTATTGCTGGTAGCAACTGTAGGTTTTTTCATCCATATTCCAGCTGGTACAGACGTCTCTAAATATTGTTTCTGTTTGTCACGATGTCAGGATTGCGGACTTACTGCCCCTGTGTTAGATCTTGCTGTTTATTGTGTAGAGAAAGAAGCACATATATTTCTATATCATAAGTCTGCTTTCTAAATATTCTGATAACTGTATTTCAATATAACTGATTTCTTTTATGATCCTAGCTACTTTATTTTGGACATTAAAAATGTTATTCTGAGAAGAGAGTCAGCCTCCCCAGACTGAGAGGAGTGCATGGCACACACACAAAAAGTGACTGGGGTGCGCTGTGGGCTGGTGGGGGGCTTCCTGTCCCTGACCCAAGGCCATGGGCATTGCTGCAGGACCTGGAAATCCACGTTGACCAGCTTTGCCCACACCCCACCTCTGAGACTTATCAGCCTGGGTCTTTGAGCAAGAATCTGCACCCAGGGGCACCTCTGTTCCCATGCTGTGTGTGTGTGTGTGGTGGTGGGGGGGGCGGGTTATAGGAGATAGGTGGGGTGATAACCAGTACCCAGAAAGCTTCGAGGAGCCCTCCTCGTGGACTAGCTCCTTTCCACCAATGGCAGGGCCGGAACAACAGGGGCTTCCCTCAGCCCTGCCCTTTGACAGAGCTGAGAGGAACTGAGCAACCTCCTGGCAGTGGAGGCAGCTTCCTCCTTGTCTGTCACGTGGAGCTTGGCTCCCGTCCCTCACAGCCTTGGGTCACACAGCCCGTAGTGCCTGTTCAGAGAGGAGCCAGGAGCACAAAGCCAACATGGGCTTGGGGGCCAACATGCTGAGAGCCGTCCTCCTCCTCCTGGGTAAGTGAGGAATGCAGAAATGGGGTGGTCGGGACTCTGCTGTGGCACGGCTGCCTCAGTGAGTGGGAAGCCGGGGGAGCATTAGCCCCCTGGGGCCCAGTCCCTTAAGCACAGATGTGTCCCTTTGGATAGATGGCTTTTTCACATTTTGAGATGGGAGACAGTGAGCAATGATTTTGTCTGTTTCATTCCAGCTGCAACTTACAAACGCTTCTGGGCCAGAGGAGAACAGGAAAGGGTCATGTGGTAGAGTTTTGGGCTCAGGACCCAGACAAATCTGGCTTTAAATTGTGGCTCCATTGCTGACCAACTGCAGCAAGCTTCCTAGACCCTCTCTCAGTTTCTGAACTGATAAAAAGGGGGATAATAATGCATATCTTCTAGGATTGTATGAAAATTAAGTTCAATTTAATTAAGTCAAACCAAAATAATTACATAAAATGGGAAAATGTAGGCATATAGATGCTTCTCTATAGTTAGTGGTGAATCAGTCTTATTAAGAAGTGGGGTAGTCTCTCAGTCACCCAGAGGTATCCTGGCTTTTTAAAGTCATTTTTATTTCTGTGCATCAAAAGAAGGAAGAAGGGAGAAAGGCAGGGACTAATAGAAAAGTAGTGCCAGATAAGGAGGGAGAAATGTAAGACCAGAGAAGCAGACAGAGAGGAAAATCAGGAGAGATACAGATGGAGGCACAGAATGATGGTTAGAATGATATGTATAGACAGAGATAAACAGAGATGAAAGAGCCATGCACTTTGCAAAATCTGCTTTGACATTAACTGTTATTTCTTAAAAAGGAAACAAAGGTTCCTCATCTGCACAAAGATGTTGTTTCTCAGATCTTGCACTGGGTCAAGACTCAAAGGCAGGCAGTCTATCTCCAGATCTAATCTTCTGTCTGAGGAAGCAATAGCCTGTATCCCAGACATGGGCAATGTTATTCCCATGGGCAGGACTCTGTCCAAAGCCTGCATCCAGCCCAGAAATGAACAAAGACCTTGGCTTTCTGGGAGTTAGCATGTCAGGCAGAGCGCCTCGGCATCTAGCAGTTTACACATGGAAATGGGCATGTGTAATGAGTGGCAGTGGCAGTGAGGGGTGGTTAGAACCAGCAAGCAAGAACGAAGTGTGTGCAGGGCAGAAAATGCAAAGTGTGCTCAGTAAAGTGGCAGAAGATGGCAAGCGTCTTGTGACTTGTTTCTGCTTTTGACCTATCTAGATATACAGACCAATCTGTCCTGGGGGGGGAGGGGTGGAGAAGTTAAATTTAAGAAATCCAATGAAAAAATGTGCCTATGATACGAACAGGCACCTTGCTGAAGAATTACAAATGATAAGCCTTGAAAATGCTCAAGGTCCCAAATAATAAAAGAAATAGTAACATGTAACATTTTTGAGTGCATTCGTCATGCTGCATACTCCCTTCAACACTTTATATTAGCTCATTCCAACCCTACAGCTTCATAAACAGGTCCCACCATTGTTTGTATTTTAAGGATGAGGTTTTAATTAGTTGGTCAAGGTATCACAGCCAGTTAGTGTTTTCAGATACTATTGGGTAGAGATAGTAGTGTTTAGGAGTGTGTGCCTCGCTCTAAACAACCGGAATGTAAATCCTCTTTGGCTGTTTACCGGCCCCGGGAGTTTGGGAGATTGTCCATCCTCTCCTTGCTCGGTTTTCTCATCTGTAACTTGGGGATAATGATTGTACCAACCTCATAGGGCTGTTGAGAGAACTCAGTCTGTGACCACATTTAAAGCATGTGGCCAGTATCTGCCCTGAGGTGAGCACTCACTATTGGATATTTGGAACGCTGATTGACCCAATCTTCTCAGGAGGCAATCTGACAATATGTAGCAAAGTGCAGGTTGTTCACAACCTTTTACCCAGAAATTCCACATTCGGGAACTTATCCTGATGAAATAATAGGGTAACAGCTCCCCAAAATATTTAATAGGATGTTATTCAGCACTGCAGACCCCAGTAGACACCAGAAAGAAATGCTTTTCAGTCAGAATCTGGCTAAATCCAATACGTTTACATGAAAGACATAACTTTCTCGAGGGACAGAGGAGATGTGACATGGACAGAGGAGAGGTGACAAAATGATAGCTACAGAGTTATAGGTACGGAATTATATTTTGCACATTTGTTTGCCTATCCAAAAATTGACTGGAAGGAAATACAGCACATTGTTAATAGTTTCCTTTTACTTTTTCTAGGAAATAGATAATGAGGCATCTTTTAATTTCTTTGTATTGACGTTTTTCATAATGATCATATATATTCTTAATACCAAATAAATAAATTTCTATGCACCAAAAAATAGCATGATAGCCTGTTGAAAGTTGTAAGAAGTAATTGAGCTTTTCCTTTATGAACTGGTCAAAGGAACCTGGGAGATTTTCTAGTGATACCTACTAATACAGGGCAAGTGACCAGGCCAGTCACCCCGGGGCGTAGGAGAGTGCTGTGCATGAGGGCTTTTGGGAACATGGGAGGAAGAAGGACATCTCTCCCTACTCCTGTGACATCAAGGCTGCGTGAGCCACTATTTTCCACATACAGAGTAGTTGGAGAGTTTTGGGAAACCCAGTTTTCCAATCTTCTAAAACTATTTTTAAGACTGAGATCAATATAACAAACATTCGTGAATTAATGCATTTTAAACACCTTGAATTAATGCATTTTAAAATCTGGCTGGTTTTTTAGATACATGTATTTGAAAGTGGATAGATAAATCAACATGTCCGTCAAAGAAATGGAACGTCAGAGATGGAGTTAATGCCCTTTGGGCTCCCCTCTTCTGTCTTGTTTTCCTCTTTCCTCCGGAGGAAACGGCACCCCTGCTGTGACTGCGTTTCCTTCCTGTGTTGCTTTCTAGGGGTTCAACATGTGGCATGAATGTCATGCTACCTTAGGTCCCCATGCTGATCACATAGATCAAACGTATTTCTTTCAACTACCTATACGATTCTTTTGAAACACTACATCATAATTTAGTTGTACCTTCCAGTATTGATCAAATTGAGGTTGTTTCTTACTTCTTGTATGGTCGCTGATGCTGCCACGAGCCGTCTAGAAGCCCCGTGTGGCTGTTTTCTGGGAGACAATCAAGAAGAGGTGTTGCTGTCATGGGTATGGGCAATTCTCCCCTCATTGGATATCGCCAAATTGCTCTCCAATGGCGAGGCCTGGACCTCTCTGTCGCCCTACAGGTTTAGTAACACCCAATAGTGTGAGACTTCTTATTTTTTTGCCAATCAGAGTTGTAAAATATTATCTCCAAGTTTTTAGGTTGCGCATTTCTGATTACTAGTGAGAATAACCATTTTCCCTGTATTTATCAGACAGCCAGGTTTCTTTTTCTGTACATTTCCGGTGGTTTTCTTTGATTATTGGTCTTTTATGTATTTTTTCTGGACATTAATTATTTGGCTCTGTCATGTGTTGAGATATCCTGTCTCAGTACATTGCTTATCTTTTATCTTTGTGGCATTCTTTGCCCTGCAGAAGTCTTTAAATGAGATACAATCACATTTATTATCCTTTGACTTTTGGAGTGTCTGGTTTTTTCCCCTTGTCTAAGAAACTTTTTTTTAAAATGTAAAGTGGTCGCATTTTCCATGATTGTACCTTTAATTTATTTGGAATTTATTTTTGTGTATGGCCTAAGCAAAGGATCTAATTTAAGGTTTTTTTCTATATGAAACATCACTTGACTTCATATCATTTATTTCACAATCTTTCCTTTCTCCCCTGCTTTGCAGTGCTTCTTCTACTTTACACCCATTTAATGCATATTTGAACTGTTAATGGGATTCCTATTCTGTGCCGGGGCTTGTGTCTGTCTGTGTTGAGTCATGTCACACAGTTGTATTCACCATAGCTTATGAATCTTGATAACTTGTAGGTAAGAGCCCTTCCCCTCCTCTTTCTTCTTCCTCACATTCTTCTCCTTTTTCTTTGACATTAAACCCATCTTGGCTCTTACTACACCTTCTCTCTTGCGTGTAGATTGCTCTCCTTGAAAGCATCATCAAAGTCCACTTCCTGAGAGTTGATTCTGAGCATGGTGCCTCGCCCAGTCCTTCTACGTAGATCTCATTTGTTTCTCACAAACAGCCCACGAAGCATGTGCTCTTATCATCATGCCCATTTCACAGATGAGGAAACCAAGACCCAGAATGGTAAAGTAGCTTATCAGAGGTCACATAGCAGGTGAGTGGAAATGCTGGGATTCAAACGCAAATAGTTTGATGCTGAAAAGCTGTATTCTTAACTCTAATACCAAACTGCCTCCCAGTTGAGAATAGAAAGTAATGTCATCATGGAACACTGACATGACTTTCTGAACTGTTCTCTCAATTTTTTGTTTCAAGATAGTTTCAAACTTAAAGAAAAATTGCAAGAATAATAATACAAAGAACCCCCATATGATTTGCCGATTTCTTACTCAAATCACATCATTTGCTTTATCTCATGTTATCTCTCTAGAGAGATATGTTTATACAAAACAAATGAGGATATAAATATATATACTTCTATATATAGAAAGAGAGAGACGTCTTTTTTTCAGAGCCATTTGAGAGTAAGTTGTATATATCATGGTTTTTTTTTTTAAACCCCTAAATACATTAGTGTGTATTTCTTAAGAGTAGAGACAATCTCTTGCATAACCACAGCACAGTTAGCAACATCAGGAAAGTTAACATTGACAAAATACTTTCACATAGTCTGTCACAGTCCAATATTTTCACTGGACCCACCAATGCCCTTTGCAACCTTCACTGTGGTCTTGCAAAGGAGCCAATGGAGGGGCAGATGTTGCATTTGGTAACTTTGTTTCTTTAACCTTCTTTACCTGGAACATCTCCTCAGCCTTTGCCTTTTATGACATCGGTATTTTAGAAGCTTCCATCTCCTTTTCTTTCAAAGAACATTCCTCATTTTGGAGCTGGCCTGATATTCTAGTGATTTCAGTTATCCATTCTGTACT